TTTCTCATCAGAAGCTATACGACTCAGAAAACAACTGGGTGACATATTTAAAATATGTCACACAACTGTCAATCTAGAATTCCATACCTAGTGAAAACCCTTCCAAACTAAAAGTGATAGTAAGACGTTTCAGAGAAAAGCTGAAAGAATTTATATTCAGTAGACTTACACTATAAAAACTGTTACAAAATTCTTCAGGCCAAATAAAAATGTCAGAGGCATTTGGCTCTGCCCAAAGGAATAAAAAGTAACATGAATTAAAGATATCATGAAAAGATAACTGTTTAAAGTCAAACAAAAATCAATATACTTGTGAGGGCCATAACATATATAGAAGTAAAAGGCATCCAAATAGCACAAAGGAGAGAAGGAGAGAAGGAAACGTGGTCTAATATTTGAAGTTACATTGTGATAAGTTAAAGATGTACATTGTAAGCCCAAGAGCAGTGGTCCTCAGTCAGATGTAATTTTGGCATCGCCCACTCTGGAGATGCACACAGGCTTGAAAAAACGAATGACAATTTACCACTGTTGAAACCAAGGGGCAGAAACATCTATGGGAACCAGCAGCAAGGTGGAAAAATCTTAACTATAATTAACAAATTGCTGGAAATTCAGTGTGGACAGGATTGGGAGTCAAGGGGATCCCGGTCTTTGGGGCCCCTATACTTCCGTGAGTTTTATCTCCAGGAGCTCCACCGGGTTCTCATAGTGAAGATCCAAGAAAAATCTCATGCTTCCAGCAGGAGGAGGGGGGAAAATAGCTATTTTGAAATACACCAGAACATTCTATTCTTCTTAACAAGGACTGCCCTCAGGAGAAATAGTTTTTAACAGAGGCTAACCTATTGAGGTTTATCAAGGCCCAGCTGAGCTGGGAGAGGAAAAAATACCCAATTCCAGCCAGCTCTAGCCTTCTACCTGGGAGAATGGAAATATTCAACTCCAGATCCTTCTAGCCTTCCAAATAGGGGGAGAAAAAGATAGAACTTTGGCCGCCACTAGCCATCCTATCTCAACTAAGAATGGAAAAAAAAACAAAAAAACAAAAAACACCACACTGGGAAGCACAATGTGAAGTTCACAGTTCAGGGGCACAGCCTAAAAGACTAAGACCTAATCATAAGATTATAGAATGCTTCCTTCCCCAGCATACCTTACCACATTACTACCAGTCTATTTGCTGTAATTCCTTTTACCCAAAACATCATGTCTATAGGAACACTCATACACTGCTGGTGGGACTGCAAACTAGTGCAACCTCTGTGGAAAGCAGTATGGAGATACCTTAAAGAGATACAAGCAGAAGTACCATTC